TTGTGATCTTACCCTTATCCAAGCAGTTTGTGAATGTTCAAAAGGAACCTGCACAGAATAAAGGTTTTTATATAAGATGACAGCTTACTGTTGACCAACGAGGGCAATCTCTCCCTGCTTTTGTGTGCAAATATGTACTCATATGTACTTCAACCCCAGCCACTGTCTGTGTGACAGTCCTTTATTTGCAGTGATGCCAGTACTACATTTTGTTCTAGTGGTACAATGAAAAAACAGAGTTCATCTATTTGAAACTACTATGCCCAGACCTAGTTGTTTCAAGAGTTTGTTTCAAGAGTTTGTGTGGTAAAGGTGGCTGTTAGTGATACCTGAATTGTTGCTGTAGAACCTTGATGGCATACAGTTTAAGTCTTGCATTGGTGAAGTCATCAGTACGATATCTTGCTTGGATAGAGTCTCCTCAGTCAGAGTTAGGTTGTAGTTATTTCATTACCAGTTATGTTAAAGTTGCAGTTGAAATCTCCAGTTTTACAACAGTCTGAAATACAAACCACATACACTCACGTTCATCAAATGACCAAGAGAACAGCTGTATGGTTATTTCCACTGGGCTCAAATCAGGCTAATAATTAGGATATTACCTGCATGTCTGTCGTTTCCATTGACATAGAAACAGAGTTTAATTCCATTGTCATCGCGATAGACAACCTCTGAAATACAATGTGAAACCACTCTTTTCTTTAAAATGTTTCAGTTCAATTTTCATTCATTTATCTTTCTATGGTGTTATAAAGCTTACCTGATGGAAAATAAAATGTACTGTCTGGCTTTCTGCAGCTGACAAACAGAAATGTTTTTGTCTGCACGTCTCATTTGTGCCTGTAAAAAACAAGATAACAAAATGACAAATATAATATACATGTCAATCTGTAGAACAGGTGCTAAATTGTGTTGAGAAATAATGATTTGTTTCAGGTAACTTTTGTTGAACTTACTCACCTGAGCTCTCACATATGCCTGTTCTTGAGGAATATCCCAAAACAGGATTGCCATCTCCACTGCAAACATCGAGCGATGCTTTCCATCAGTGGTGACATTATCCTAAGGAGTAAGGACAATGTCAAGTACATTATGGGATTAAGTTATCTCACCATAAACCTATAGATATATACATTTTTCAGTTCCATCTAGCCGTACAACAGCTTCCATTACCTGATTGTGGTGATTTTCTGTGTTCTGCGTTGTCACTCTCCACAGCGACTGTTAGTGAAAGATAAACCCTTAATATAGTTCCTGTCTAATTTACCTTGCAAATGAGCATGTCCACTTCTCTTGACACATGTCGTGACTGCATTCTCATCTCGCAGACTGCCACATATAGTGATGGACTGGATTGAAGAGTTTATATGTAGTTTTTAAAATCAAAAAAAACTATGTTTCTTTATTCACATGACAGGATGGACAAAAATGAATGGTAAATGCAATATATTCTATACAGTAATATAGTCTAGTCTATTTTGCTTCTTTGATTCATTTCAGCCATACTACGCTGGCTCTATGGATGGAAATGTCGGTTGGTTGGTTAGTCTTTGGTCCAGACTGAAATATCTCAGCAACTACTACATTTTGTACAGACATTCACGATTCCCATTGGATGAACCCTACTTTGGTGCTCCCCTGACTTTTCCTCTGGTGTCACCATGAAGTTCACATTTGTGGTTTTGAATGAAAGTAGCCAATAGCTATTGCATGGATTGTCATGAATTTTTCTGCACACACTCAGACCCCATTCAAAATAAATGTGAATAACTCTGCTAATCCCCCGACATTTCACCCAACACCATAATCAGTACAACATTTCAGTTTGTCTCAATTCTTTAGCTACCATGCTAAACTAAGATGGTGAACAACATACCTGCTTAACACCAACATGTTAGCATTGCCCTTTTCATAACAAGTGAATGAGAGGGAAATTGTAAAGCACTTTATCTGTTAAGATTGAAATGCATTATACAGCATGTTATCCATTCACCACATGTAGTCCATTTGTGACCATGATAGCATCCTGACTGTAGCATTTAGCTTAGGGCACAGTGCCACTAGCATGGCTGTCGATTTGTAGTCTTGTTTGTATACGTGCTTATCTCCCTGTTGAGACATCTATAGTTATCAATGAGGATGATGTTGCCGCAAGTCTTTTTAAATTGATGCTGAACAAGACCACTGGTCCAGACAGTCTGAAAGTCTGTCTTCTAAAAGAGTGTTCTCCTGAACTAAAAAGAGCTTTTGCAAGGTTGCTTCACTTCCCTCCAAGGTGCACAGTGCCAAAATCATGGAAATTTTCAATGATCAGGCCTATGCCAAAACTGTAGAAAACTTACCCAAATACCTTGGTGCAACTCCCAGGTGAACTTCTCTGGAAAACAAGTGTGTTTTTTAAAGAGATTCTCACAGTGACTTTATCTTCTGAGGAAACTCAGTGTTAGTCAGTAGGTTTTAGAACTAGTGTACAAAATTATTGCTGAGTCTTTTAACTGTTCACCTTCCAGTCCTGTTACATTCAAATAGTTGGCAAACCCCAAAGCCTGAAGGACAATAAAGAAATATTGTGTTCTGTTTTTCCTTTTTTATGGTCACAGTAGGAGCTTAAATTAACCATAGCTTATAATAGAGTGGGCAATTTGAGCTGTATTTGAGCTCAGAATTATAACTGTTGACAAAATGTCTGTGGAATAGTTTCATATTTTGGCAGATACTCTTTTTCACTTTCTTGCTGAGATTTAGACGAGAAGAATGATACTACTCTTATATCTGAATGGACTACAGGCAATTGCCGGTGAGCTTAGCTGAGCGTAAATACTGAAAATGGGGTAAAAAAATGTTCAATCCTGTAAAGATCAATAAAAACACATTTGTTTGTCCACCATTTCAAACCCAAAGAGCAGAAAAGCCATGCTAAAATCTACAATACTTCATTTTAAATTGTTGTCAAGTCTCAAGTTTCCAAACACACCCAACATGCCTGCTGATTTGTATGTAAATTTTTATAAAGACACCAAGAATTTATCCTGTGCCACCAGTAATACAAGATGACATCTTTGGTTTAAATATTTCAATCAACATACACATACAATATAGGGTTACCTAGTGTCAATAAAGTGCTGGAACAAGCTGGAACAAATATGTGATGATGCCAAAGGTGTGGAAAGCCATGGCGATGTTTTATGAAAATTGTGTCTAGTCATAACATAAAATCAATGCAAATCCTGTGTATTTACAGTACATGGATATGCCTGTTGAATTGTTTACTGTAGGCTTGTTTGATGCAAATGGAATGAACAAACTACTGTTGAAGCACACCATGCAACAAAAGGACAGTATAGTGGCAACCAAAACGGTTTGCATTTAGGGCTTATATGAAGGGAAAGGCTTCATACTTAACTATAGGCAGCCACAGTGCCCCGTTTGTGTTCTGAAATTATCAGGTAAATAAACTCAGAGGAGGGACATAGGGAGCTACGCATGAGGTGATGAGGTGACATGAACATCATGTCTGAAAAATGTGTCGATGCTGCCCCCTGGTGAAAACCTAACATGTTAATACCCCCGGTATGTTTCTTGACATAATCTAACACAGTTTTAAACATTACAGGCCTTTTTTCTTCTTTTTGTTTGATGATCTCTGGATAAAACTATTTTTAACAAAACCATCATCTGAATGATAAATACAAATGCATCCCTAAATAACGAGAGACCTGAACAAATAGCACTGTAGATAAACAACACTGCAACTGACCATAAATTGACGGATAACAGAGCATTTAGAGGTACAGCTTGAGCTCCTCTGTGGTTGTTAACAGGTTGATAATGTCATTACAGTCAGCCTGCTAGCCTGCTAAGGTAATTACCGCCTCACCAGCAGCACTAAACACATTTAAGACCCGATTGTAGTCTGGATAGGCCTGGTTGGATTCATTGATGGAGTTTTTATTGACAGTTTGGAGTTAACTCAACCTGCTGAACCATGTGGTCAGTCTGGTGATGTCATTGTTATCCATGTTAATGTCTGTGTGGCCAGTCGTTTGTTGTTAACGCTGTTTGCAGGTGAGAAAAGCAAACTTCTCCTTTCATTAACCAGTCATTTGCTAAGTTGGTCATGTGGAAGCATTGTGTAAACTGAACAGCCGTTAAGTTAGTGATGCTTATATTCAGTGTATTAATATTTGTGTATTGTTCTTAGTTCTGCTAGTATTCAGCAATAAATAAATCAGTGTTGCCCGGTGTGAGGACAATAATTAAAGCTGTTGCTTAGCTCTGCACTGCAGGCTTTTCACTGTGTTTTTGTTTTCAGGAGCAGTTTTCTTAGTGGTTTGTTGCACGATGCTGTGGGGATAGAGCCAAGGGCTCTGTGCCGTATGGCAAATGAATATTTCATGGCTCTTAATGGAGCCATCGCCCTCATGCTGTAGCTCTGTTTTTCCCACCACACGCAGCACAGGACTGTGGTGGAGCTGTGTGATCCGTATCCTTTTTGCAGCTTCTCTGGTGAATTTAGTTGTCTGTCTGGCAGTGCCACACAACAGCTGCCCGTAATGTCATCATACTGGTTGGGGGGGGGCTAGCTATAAAGCTTACCAAGCAGACAACTGGTGGTGATGCTGAAGGTCTGTGGTAGAACACAATGCACCAAAGCCACACCCCTGCTCAACCCAGCCCCTACATATGGCTGTATCCCTCGCCCTGCGCCCTGTGCGTGAACTTGTCTTCACCAAGATCAGCAGATGACCTGCCATCTATGACAGAGGGACAGCCTCATGTTACACATCATCCCGCATACATCTGGATACGTGTGTCAATATTTATGTCCACTGGGTATAAAACACTATCTGCGTCAATCCTGGAGAGGAGATTAAGATCTTAACTTGGGAGCGATATGACCCAGCCTGTCGTTCCAATTAGAAAAGTGACCGGGAGGCAGAGCAGCTATGCATTGCCTTGGTGACCTCATCCTCTATACACAACAATCCATAACTATCCGACAGAGAGTTGACTCCCACTAATATTTCACTATTGGCCTGTTAGTGTAAATTGATCTCGCAATCAAAGTGTTTGAGAGTCTTCAGAGTGTCAGATGAAGGGTGTGAGGAAAAGTAGGAGCGGGCTCAGCCTTGTGCTGGAATGTGGGATATCAGAGGATGTGTGTTTGTGTGTGTGTGTGTGTGTGTTCAAGGCACCTGTTTATACTTTCTTTGCAAGTTTGAGCCTGTGTATACACACACACACACACACACACACATACACACACACACACACACGCACACAATCACAGCTGTCCCTCACATTACACAGCTATTTCTGACCTGCTCAGGCATGGGGGACGGGGACAGACGGGTCAACAGTGCACTTTCTCCTTTAGTAAATGACACAAACACACACTCACAGGCGAGTACAGCAACCACACATCAAATCTAATCCTTTTTGTGGTGTCTTTAAATGCGCAGTACAATGTCAGTGAGTGTGCCCGACTCTTTGTTCACCTCATAGACTGTCACCCTGCACAACCATGACAGATGTAGTGGAGTATTGATCTCACTGACTGCTTTACAGCCTCAGTGTAAAACCTGATCAGCATGCGGCTAAAATATTTCAGATATAAATCAGTTTAACGCAGCTTGGCTCACCCTTCAGTTACCTATCTATAACCACAGCACTTGCCTTGGGTCTCCATAAAAATGATTCTTGTCAGATAGAGCACGAAGACAAAATATGGAGTAAACTTCAGTTAATGAACTCTGGAGATTCTGAATAGCAAAAGAAAAAAAAAACAAGTGGTCAAATTTCTCACATTAA